CCTACCTGGGAGTAATCATGGACTCCAGAATGACTTGGCGCTCCCACATCGAAGAGACCCGTAGAAAAATCCGAGGCACAAGCGCTGCGCTAAGACCACTGTACGCAAACTCTGCCCTCTCTTTGAAAAACAAGCGCCTGATCTGGCTGTCCATTTTAAGACCAATTGCCACCTATGCTTGTCCTGCGTGGTCCACAGCGGCAAGAACGCATCTTAACAAACTTGAAGCCCAACAAAACCGCTTTATGAGAGTCATCACATCTGCCCCATGGTTTGTAAGGAACGTGCAACTCAGAAGAGAGCTAGCTCTAGAGCCGTTACTCACCACAATCGGCAAACTGACGGAAGCGACACTTTTAAGAACCGAGATGATAGATAACTCTCTCCTTACCGCATCAATTGACTACAACCCAAATAATCGTAGAAGACACCGCGGAGCCCGGGGGCAGTCGAAACACTACTTGATTAGACTACCCAAATCACTATTTTGTTTTTCCTACAAAGCTTGTAATTTATCTGATTATGAAAAGATGGAGATGGGTCAAAAATAAACAATAAATAAATAAACTAAAATAAAATAAATTAAACTATTCTTAACAAAATTAAACAAAAGAAAAAAAAAACAAAGACACAAAAACAAAAAATATATATATTATTAAAGCCCAAACAAACTCTAAATCATGAATTATAAACACATTTACAATTAAGTACATATTGAAAAGAGGCATACCACACCCATCTCCCAGCAATGCAATAAAACATATTACACTTTCATTCTTAACCACTAAACCAGCTGTTTCAGACCCCAAGCCAGGACGGAGGCCCACATGATTCTCCAAAGCTACAATCCAAGGTACAATCTATGCAGACGGGGAGTGCAGTGACTTATTATACACACTGATACTCCCGTTCCCCTGCTATATAATATTTAGACCGCTGGCGGCCCAAATACCGTTACCATCCCGACCTTCCACCCCACACCCCAGTTTGCGAAAGCAAACCCCCCCACCACCAAACCCAATGCAACCACTCCTATCCAAGAGAAAGGGTAAAAGGTCCTACTGACCTACTCTTGCTCGGGTTCAAGCCCAGTAGCCCCCCTTTGTTGTTCAGGTCACATTATTATTATTATTATTAACATGATTTCAACGTCTTGCTGCACGCAAGAAATTAGTCAAGTCAAAAGATATTCACAACAGCTAAAGCGTAATATAATTATACCAAGACCAAAAGTAATTGCAAAATACAATTCTCATATGGGTGGAACTGATCAGATGGATCAAAATATTAACTGCTATCGCATAGTAATTCGTGGGAAAAAGTGGTATTGGACCATCTTCTCGTGGATGTTAGATGTAGCCGTTCAAAATATTATTTTATGCAACAAAACAGAAAAGAAAAATATATCACAGCTGGAATTTAAAAGGGAGCTGGCCAATTTATATTTGAGAAAATTCCAGAACCTACCCAAAGGAGCGGAAAGGCCTTCATTATCACCCACTTCTTCGGCGGTTAGCCGCATATCAGATTCCATAAGATTTGATCGAAGGGATCATTTTGTTCAACATACTGAGAACAAGAAGATGTGCTCGAAGTACATGTAAATCAATTATAAGAACGATGTGCTCCAAATGTAATGTGGGATTATATGTTGATTGCTTTGTTCCATTTCATTCTCGTTAATAATTGTATTTTAATTTTTTTTCTTTGTTGCATTTAAAAAATAAACAAATTGCAAGTGGCGCTACAAACGTTTTTGTCTGTTTTTTTAAAGCCAGATACATTTGATAAGCGCCTAGCGTTGCCATATGCTAACAGCAAAAATTTCAAAAACTAAAAGTCATACAAAAAAAATTATTAATAATTTTTTTTTCTTATAACATAATAAAAATAGTTAAAAATTAAAAAAAATATTTTAGGCACTAATGGGTAATGTGAAATTTTAGAAAGTTGCCTTATTTAAAAGTAAATTTATTTTTATTTTATAAATATAATGTATCTGAACCTCTAGCATCAATAACAGCTTGACAACGTCTTGGCATACTCTGTACTAGGTTATCCAACATTTCTTGCAGAATTGGAGCCCAAAAAATAGGTAATATTCTTGTTAGCTCCTGTATAGTCTCAGGCCTAGGTTGGTGGTTATCTAGGCTTCGTTGAAGCATATCCCAGGCATTTTCGATAGGATTTAGATCCGGTGACATAGCTGGCAATGGCAAATGCGTTATACCATGATTTTTTATCGCACGCCTTACTCGCAGTGTACGATGCGGTCTTGCATTATCATCCAAAAATTGAAATTGGTCACCGATTTCTTGATGTAAATGTGACAATATTGTTTATTATGTCATTTTCGTAAATAAAATCATTCATGGTATTTACGCAGATATACAAATCCGATCGCCTATCCAAAGAAATACCGCCCCAGACCATTATTGTCCCACCTCTAAAAGGATGGAGCTCCTGCACAAATTTCTGGGTCTTCTGGGTGCTGTCCAAACTTGGGTACGTCGGCTATCTGAGAATCTGCCAAACCTGGACTCATCCGTAAAAAGTACGTTATTCCATTCTTGGTCACAATGTAAGTATTGTCTGGCCCACTCTAATCGAGCCTGTTTGTGGACTCTGGTTAATGGAACTCCTCTAAGGAGACGCCTAGAAGCCAAATTAAGATCTAAAAGGCGTCTTCTTATGGTTGAAACGAAAACTCTCACGCCAGTAGCATTTTGTAAGCGACCACTCAGTTGCCGGCTCGTTGATAGAGGCTCTCTACGGACAGAAACAGATAGATATCGGTTTTGTTGGGGTGTAAGTTTCCTAGGTCTTCCTGTTCTAGGTCTATCCTCCACAGATTCTGTATCTCTGTATCTTGAACGAAGCCGAGAAATTACGCTTTTTGAAACATTAAAGTCTTCCGCGATAGCTATCAATGATTGCCCAGCTTCTAGCATTCCAATGGCCATCTACCGGCGATCTACACTTAACTTTTGCCTCCCCATTATTATTATAAAATTAAATGAAAAACAATTTAAACAAGTGGTCAATTATCAATAATCTCAAAATCGCGTTAAATAAAAAAACTGCGTAAAAACTAAGCAATATATTTTATTAGGTATGTTAAAAATACATTATTGTTCATACAATATTGGTTTAAAGAAACAAATATACCGGCGTCTTAACTATACAGGGGGGGTTACCTAACTGACCCATCGTTTACAGCCGCTCGACTATGGAGTATGTGGTCCACTGAAAAAGAACTAGGACAGAATTCTATTAAAGGAAATGAGAAAAACATTGGGGGTAACAAATAAAAATAAAATGACTCGAAAAGAGTTTTCATTGGATGTTAAAGACTTATGAATGCACCACCTAATACCCGACATAATTGTTTCTGGATTTAACGGCACAGGCTCCTTTCCAGTAGATCGAACAAAATTTCCTTAACCTGATTTTGACCAAGCAGCTCTAGCAGGATTCGAAAAATACAGGGTGGCGCAATAGGTATTGAAGGTTTTTGAAACGCCACTGCTTGAATATGAGTTAAGGGGACGGGATAATTATTAGCTTAAAATATTGCATATGTAATGCAGTTTAGTATCCATGAATATGTGGCCAGCTCTTGCGTTAAGTCTTATCACCGATCGGAGTCTGTTAATGAAGTTCAACGACAATTTCGAATACGAAATGAATATGTCGGTACTGTAAAAACGGTGCGTACACCAGAAAATGTAGAACGAGTACGGCAAGCTGTAGTAAGGAGTCCAACTCGTTCAGCAATGCGTCAAGCAGTAGCATTGAATATTACACGACGAAGTTTGGGTCGAATTTTACAAAAAGATCTAAGATTTCATCCATACAAAATTCAAATCGTCCATAAAATTTTACCGCAAGATTTAGCAGCACGCATGCAATTTTGTAGAACTTTTCTTGCTTTACTAAACCCAAATGTTTTAAATGATTTAATGATGTGTGATGAGGCTCATTTTCACTTATCAGGATATCTAAATAAATAAAAAATCGGTTTTGGGCTGCCGAGCAACCTGAACAAATTCACGAACAACCTCTGCATTCCTCAAAAATTACCGTATGGTGCGGTGTGGCTGCATTCGGAATACTAGGCCCATACTTTTTCGAAGAAGATGGTCGTACAGTAACTGTAACTTCTCAAAGCAAGATGGACAAGCCATACTGCGCGAATTTGCATGGCTGCTCTAAGAAACACGTTTCCCGGACGACTTGTATCCCGACATGGCGATTTTAATTGGCCGCCCAGGTCACCAGATTTAACCAGCCCTGATTTTTTCTTATGGGGATATTTAAAGGCTGGGGTTTTCGTAAAAGCCAATATTACTCAAGAAATCAGAACGATACCGCAGGAAATGCTGCTACGAGTTAGAGGCAGTTTTCAATCACGACTTCAAGAATGTTTAGAAAAACGTGGTGGCCATTTAAAAGAAATTATTTATTGTAAATTTGTATTATAAATGAGTATAATACACTATTTTAAGTATATTTAGGTGCGGAAAAACTAAACTTTTACTAAAATATATGTTTATAGTGTTAAATACAACAAAATTTGCCTAAAACTGTCACCTATTCTATGTACAACACTGAATTTTAAACTATCATAATTTCGAATGACAAAGCTATTCTTTGCAATTTTTTCAACTTTAGAAATTCTTAAATTAATATTTTATAGTTTAAAATTAAATGTGTATTGTACGATCACTTGTCGTTATAGCGTCTTTGTGTTTGTAAACAGGTTGTGTTTTTATAAATTCAAATAGGTTTTGTGGTTCTTATTCTATAAAAAAATTTCGTGTGCTGTTAAATCGTACAAAAACAATAGAAGGTTTAAGCCATCTGGGATATCTTTTTTTAGGTAAGTTTTATAGAAGTCTTGAATAAAAAACAAAGGTTTACCCACTTGTTGCATGTAAAATATACCTAAACCATTTAAATTTTAGCTTTCCAAAAGATGAAACTTTGTTAAATAATAGGTTAAATGTACTAAATCTTAATAAAAGTGATTGGAAATGGACCCCAAACAAACTTGTTTGTTCTAAACATTTTGAAGGTACATTAATCGAGAAGGGATGTTTCAGTGTTAAATTAGCTAAAAATGCTGTACCAAGCTTACATTTAGAACTGAATTCACCCAAACAAGGAGAAAGCAATGTAGATAATGAGTCCAAAAAATCTAAAGAGATTCCTTCAACGAGTGGAAGTGCAAATACATTTTCCTCTGGTTTGCCGTACAATAAAGATTCAAAGTAAGTAAAGTCATTTTTATGGTTCCTATTAAATTAAACAAGTTGTTTTTTTTATTTAGGTCTACACTCTGTAGAAATAAAACATGTACAGGAAAGAGAAATAACCCCAACAAATGAAATTATTAATTTAGATAAGCCACTTGCAATGCTTTCATTTAAAGAGCTTGGCATGACAAGGGATTTGAAGATTCATGGTAAATAAATAATTTTTATAGGTGTATATTAAACTAAACAGGGTATTTTTTCTACTTTTAGTTTAGAAAATGTACAAATTTACCAAAGTATATCCAGGAAATCTCCCAAAAACATTAAGACCCACAGGTAAATACTATTGTAATCCTTATAATATGTTATACAATTAGGTACAATTAAGATTTTTGTAACAAAAAACATTTAAAGATATTAGATATTAATAACTTTTAAAATTTTACATAAAGCTAAAAAAAAGATAGTGAAATTACAAAAAAAAAAAAATTCTTTAAATAAAGTCATTTTAGACTTAAAAAAACAGGACAGCATATCAAATTATGCCTATGATCATTTAAAAGTTGGAGTGGATGAAATACCTGAACTTTTAATGCAGCGTTATTTAAGAAACAAAAATAGGGGCACAATTTCTCGAGAGACATATCCTGAAAAGCTCAGAGAATTTGCCTGTACATTGCAATTTTATTCAAATAAGGCATATAAATATGTAAGAAGAACCTACAGAATTGCTTTGCCAAATGTTGCAACAATAAGAAAGTGGACAACAAGCCTTGACTGCTCTCCAGGCTTTTGTGGACCTGCATTTGATGCCTTAAAAATACTGGTGAATAAATATAATTTAGAAAAAAGAGAAATGATATGTGCTCTTATGTTAGATGAAATGTCTATTAAATTACAAATTGACTTTGATGGAAAAGATCATATGGGTATGTAGATGTGGGAACTGCTCAAGAAACTGAAGATCTTCCTCCTGCAAAGGAGGTTTTAGTATTGATGGTAGTTTGCCACAATTCTCATTGTAAAATTCCTATTGGATACTTCCTTATAAGAGGCTTAACTGGCAAAGAAAGGGCCAATATTCTTAAAGAAGCCTTATGTAGGTTACATGAAATTAATGTTTCAATAACCTCAATAACATGTGATGGCCCAAATGTGCACTTTCAGATGTTTAAAAATCTGGGATGTGACTTTACTAATATGGAGGCACCAAAAACCTCTTTTAACCATCCAGCTGACACTAATATAAACATACATTGTGTTATGGATACCTGCCACATGTTAAAGCTGGTTAGAAATAATTTTGCCAGTCTGAAAATAATAAAAAATAAGGTTAATAAAGAAATTAAATGGCAGTTCATTGAAGATCTTTATAATATTCAAAATTAAGTGGGGCTAAAATTAGGCAATAAGCGTAGCAAATCTCATATGGAATGGAGACGACAAAAAATGAAGGTATGAATTATAAAAAATTTTATGTTCACTCTTCACACTTAATTTAGCAGCGCAGACATTAAGTACTAGTGTTGCGGATGCTATTGAATTTTTGAAAGAATCTGGGCATCCTAAATTTCAAAATTCAGAGGCAACAATAGAGTTCATAAAAAATTTCGACACATTATTTGATATATTAAACTCCAGAAGTCCAAGGCTCCATAATTTAAAAGGTCCATTAAGAAAAGAAAATGAACAGCAGTGGAAACCCTTTTTAAATCATATGATAATTTATATATTGGGCTTGACGGATTGTTCTGGAATGTTTCTATATAAAACGCCAAAGAAAACTCCCTTTATAGGATTTATTATAACAATTGTATCTATAATGGGAATTTTTGATGATTTTGTAGAATCAAAAAAATTAAATTACCTCCTTACCTTACCTTCTTACAAATGTTCTCAAGACCACCTGGAAACTTTTTTTGTGCCATTAGGTATGTTATAAATTATAAATGCACTTTAACATTATAATGTCTGAAATATTTCTAGGTCCAGAAATGGGTGGAATAACAACCCAAGTGCCCTACAATTTATGAGATCTTTTAAAAAATTACTTCTTTATACAAACATTGCAGGAAGAGGTGGAAACTGTAAAGTAATTGAGGCAACATCAATATTATCAATCACCAATAAAAAAAATAATGATACCACCAAAGCTGCTTTTGAGTTCGATGTAAATGTAATAAGAAAATATGGACTTAATTATGCAAACATAGATGAAGAGTTGGACATTTTACCAATAAATTTGGACATAAAAATGATAATGAAAAATATTGTGACATATATTTCTGGTAAGTTCTTAATTAAAAGTAAATTAAAAATTTATTATTTATTGGTTGATTTTTAGGGTATGTTGTCATAATGTTAAAAAGGAAAATTAAATGTGGTGACTGTTTAATATTTGGAAATTAAAACAAGAGAAGAAAATAAACAATATAATCTTTTATTAAAAAAAAATAGAGGTTAGTAAATTTTAATACTTAATATTCCACAGTAGGTATTAATTTATTGTTGGTTTTGGGAGGTTTGCTTATACCATCTGAATCAGTTATAAAAATAGCTAATAAAACTGAAGAGAAAATAGGGAAAGTCCTAAGCAGAAACAACAACAAAATTCCCCAGGACCCAAATTTTTTACCAACATTCGTTATTGCAATAAGTCAATTATTTTATGGTTTGCAAGATACAATGTTCTCTGAGTGCAAAGAACACTTTTTAAATGTCTCAATTGTGGAGCAAAATCATTTTTATATATTAATTAAAGAAATTGTATCTGCTTATACAAAAATAAGATTTTTTAATCTGGCAAAAACCTGTTCAAAAGATTTGCAGGGAAGTTCTGTCAGAAGCCAATTGACTAAATTAATATAATCACCAATAAAGTAATAATTATAATTTGTCTTTTTATCCAAAACTACCTAAAAAACTTCCAATGTAGTAAATTAATTGAATTGTTTATTTTTGAAAAAAGCCAAGTTTATTAATTCAAAAAATATAAACTTAAATGCTGTTTTAACCTAATAATTTGTTATGGAAATATCTCTTTCTAATTTTCTAATTTTAATCTTGCTAAATTTAATATTCCAAATATAAAATAATTTAAAATAGTCACGTATGTAATATATCCAATGGAGTATGATTATTATATCCAATATAAAATTAAACTTAGCTTGTTTTAACAATAAACGATTTAATAAATGGGAAACATTTGGTTAATTATACCTATTAAATTTCATTTAAAATTGACAAACTACAACTTAAAAAGGTATAAATATTGTACTTATTAAATTATTATCGACCGAACCCCGTACATGAACTTCAAAATGGCGGCCATCATAGTGTCTCCCTTCGGGCATCTTAAAGCTCATTCTCCCCCCTCTATATCTCTGATTCTACTAATAATGTAAAATTGTTTCATATTTGTTGCGTTTTTGACCAACATAAATTAATTATATATATATGTATGAGAGGCTCCCATAAAGAGCTACAAGGTCGGTTAAATTACAGAAAATCTATTAAGTGTCTATAATCCTGGAAAAAGGGGAGAGGGAAGTACCGACATCCCCGTATTCCGGGGATTTACTGAAGATTCTAACCATGTAAAATGTGAAACTTACAATTCCCAGGATCAACCAACTTTTCTGTTTTAAGTTTTTTTTAATAAGCAAGATAATATAACAATAGTCCAATTACTTTATGTTCAGAAGCGGAAAAGAAAAACACGTACACACACGCACCAAAAAACAGTTTTTTGTCTCTAGATATCGAAAATGTTCAATCACTTTCACTGTTTTTAAACTGTATGGTCCACTAGAGAACAATTGTTGATCAATATGCAAAAAAATCGTATATAAATCACTTAATTCATAGCAGAAAAAACAGCGAAATAACAACGAAGCTCGTATGATCATCTAGTGGAAAACGCATGCCATGCAGTATTTCCAGTTTTCAATTTGTTAAGTGTATTATTAATTGCCTATTTTTTTTGTAAGCAAGATGTTTCGAACAAAAATTTAATGAAACACATGATGCTGGGTATTAATAAAAAGGAAAACAACGTTAAGGATTTGTTTTATTAATTTTTTTTAATGTTGTTGTTAATTGATTTTAATAATTCCGTTTAAAATTAAGATTAAGACATTATTTTTAAACTACCAATTTGGTTTGGTTAACCTATTAGTTTCCAACGTTGCGTAAACGAAACGTTTTTAAAATATATATATATTTTTTTAAATTACTTTTTTTCCTACAATTTATTAAACATTTAACATGTACTGAGCCTTTTTTTATAAAAAACTCCAAAAAAGATCATACAGTTTATTTTTGCAAATTTATAAACTATGCGGATTTTGCAGTATTTTTTTTCATATTTTCGTCGATCTTATTGCTACCCGTAGAATAAAACGGGACTTTCCAAATTGTAAATTTGGATTTAACTTACTTTTAGAAAGGAAGGAATTATATGATTTTTGAGAAAATTTTTATACCTTTTGCATACCTGCCCTGCTTTACTAATGTTGCGTATTCGCAACGTTGGGATTACCAGTAAAGGCGGAGGTAGAAAAATTATTCTGATAGGTATCTTTTTGTGTGATTATAATTATATTATTATTATATAAAGTAAATGCTAATAACTATATGTTAGTTATCAAAAGTGTTGATAAGTGATATACAGTGTAATAACGATGTCTTGGGAAAACAAAAGACCTCTGTCAACTGTTGAGCTTTTGGCTCTATTGGATGAAGATACAGACTTATTGCAGGCTGATACCATTGATGCCGTGTACATTCCACCGCCTGTAGATGAACTTACAGATGAAGAGAACTTGGATGAAGACATATGTGAGAACGATAAAGATTTACCAGATGTAGCGGGGACCTATGAAATACATGCAAGTTTACCGGATACTTTAGAAGACATAGCTAATCAATCTTTACCGTCAAGTTCGAAAAAAGCAAAAGTTTGTAAAAAAAAGTCAAAGAAAACTTTTCCGAAGTGGAAAAAACAGTATATACAGCAAAACCACATAATAAAGAAAAACAGAATTTGGAACAAATTGAAAATAAAATTGGAGGTAAAACCCCTTATGAAGTTTTTTCATTGTATTTTAGTGACGATGTTTGGGAAAAAATAA